GGAGGTGTCCCTGCCCATGGCAGGGGGCTTGGAATAGTATGACCCTTAAGGTCCCCTCCAGCCCAAACCATTCTAAGATTCTATTTGTACTGGAAACACATACGATGCAAACTTTTTCTGCCACTTAGAGGACACTGATGAGGCTTTGGTAGGCAAGGTCAAGATGTTCACCTGCTCTGATAAAGCATGAGGAGGTAAATCATCCTGTGCACTCCAAGTCATTCAGATGGTACTTTTGGCATTTCCCCCCCACTCCTGCTTTTGTTCTGTCAGTCTGACGAGAACAGCTCGTGTGATGTAATTTAGAATGGAGCTTTTTTAAAGCTTTCACTCAGGAAAAGCTTCGGGAGCTCTGGGGGTATAGCTTAGCTCGGAGAAATAGAAAGAAAGCAAGTTTGCATTGACAGCTTGATCCCAGAGAGAGGTGGCTGCCTGCTTGTCTAACAGGTCCTCTGGGTCTGGATGAGGCAGAGACAGAGGAGCAGTCATATTAAGTGAACGCTTGCTGCCAATGTTAAAGGAACAATTACCATTATTCTGCATAGTTCACTGTTTGCTACTGCTATTTCCTTCAATAAAACCTCTTTTCACTTGCCAATTGGAGCTTGTCATGTAACAATATTTCTTATGCACAATACACATACTAAAATGCCCCTGTGTTTTTAATACATTTATAGTTGTTAACAATAGCAGTACAGCGACAGGAAAAACTGTGCTTGCCTTGAATACAGAACAGATTGAAAAAGAACAAACCAGTGGCCTTACTCTGAAGGATTAATGGGGGCTTGATTTTGCCTAATCTGTGTTAAAATAGTGGCATCTCTTCCATTTATTTGACACCCACTTCTTCCTCTCAGGGCCTGGGCTGTGGCCTCCTCGTTTGGAAGGGGTTGTACACCTGAGACTTGTGCAAAACTTCAGTGATGATTTTGATGTCAGGGAGTGCTGGGGACAGCATTGGGCTCTCACCTGTCCCTGTGCCTGGACAGCCTCAAGGTGGATGGACAAGGGGTGTCACTCATGTAGCCTTGGCAAGCCCAGCCTGCTGAAGGTTGCCCAACAACCCTTCACTCCTCGTGCGTGGTGCACAGACAGGTGGGAGCTGTGCTACCATTCAGCAACTCCTGAAACTCTGGTGTTCACTGCCTACATCAGACTAACAAAACTCCTCGTGAATGCAGCTCCTGGTGAAGCAGGACAAACAGACAGCTTTGGGGAGACTGGCATTTCCCTGGGGCTGTGGAGCTCTCCAGCTCTCCTCCAAGAGCTCACACAATGCAGACTTTGTGCTACTGCTGCACTCGCCAGCATCACAAAGCCAGGTGGAAATGACTGCAATGAAGGTGCCATGGTGAGAAGAAATTACGTGTTTGCACTTCTGAGCAGGCTGAACCTCATATTTCATGCACCCAAAGGAACAAGCAGCTGTTCGGAAACCTTTGCAGCACAATCACGAAGGAAACTTTCTTCTGCCATAAGATTCGTGTTTTCTAAGAACACTATTTTGTTCAGAACAAGTTAATATACACAGGAAAAGACATCTTGAGTGTTCCTGACTCTCCTACACTATCCAGGAATAGTGATAGACTGCGAGTTTAAACACATTCTTCCACTGCACAGTGAGAGAAGTGTGTTTAATGCTGTGAGCAGAACACTTACCATGTTTGCCTTTGCCAGAGCCGGCAAGACTACACCAATCTAAGAGTACTTATTACATATATAAGTAACAGTGGATGTCATCTGTCTGCCCCCAGAATAGATGTTCTGCACCTTTGGTACCGGGGGAAAAAAGGATTTGTGAAAAGATGCACAGCGTGATACATCTTCTGCTGCAGATATTGCTAATTGCTTTGTCTGTGCCTTTTTCTGAGGAAAAGAGTGAAGAAACCCAGAGAAGGCCACCATAGTAGAGGCTGGTTTGGAGCCTAATCTGAGCTCCCTGGAATTGTTTTCTTTGACATCTGGTGGTACAGGATCAAGCCTTTGCAAAGATAAATAAGTTGTTTTCCAGCATGGTCCAGCACAGCCTGTTCTGCAACACCTGGGGAGGTGCTCAGATGGCAATAAGATTAATAATGTTTATTACAGTATGCAAGTCCAGCTCCCAGTTGTGTTCCAGCATGGCAGGCAGGCAAGAGAGAAACAAATGGAAGTGTTTGCTGGAAAAGTCTCATAGAAGACATAAGACCCTCACAGATTGCCGCTCATCATTGGGTTCAAATCAAAGAAAAACTTTTATACCTTATTAGAAGATGTGGAGGGTTGTAGTCATATATTATTATGTATCAATTTACCACCAGTAGAGTTCTCAGGACTATCTGGGAGAAATGCTGCATCTTCTGTGATTTGCAGCTCTATTTCATAGCATTTAAAATGTTTGGATTTCTTTTAAGAATATATATGGGTTTGATGGTGTTAATATATGTGGGTTTGTTGGTGTTTCCCCCCACCAAATGAAAACACTGACAGTCTCAGAGCAGCTCTGACATTAATGCTGTGCAAGGATATCTTTGTGACCATAACTGTGTGTAATGCCTGCTTTGGGAATAAATTCTTGGCACACAAGTTCTGTGTCATTCAGAAAGCAGCACAGTTGTCAAGGACCTTGGGACATGAAAAGAAGACACTGTGCTCTCTTTTCATTGGAAAGTTCACAAATTCTGCCTAGAGATCCCTCTGATATTTTCACTTTTCAATACATAGTGATTACCAAAAATAAAACTGAGAATTTTAAGTGCTTTCCAAATTTTATGACACAGAGTTTTACATGGAAAAGAATTCTTTTGTAATAAACTCAGCATCTTCTTGTTCATATTACCTATAAATTTCCCCAGCTAAAGAGTCAGAAATTACAAAAGGATGTCGATGGGTTAGACCTACCTTTAGTTACTGTGCCAGTGATTATTTTAAATAAATTCCCATCCACTTCTGACTACTCAGCTCAGGTTATGATTTTGTTTCTGAAATTTGGTCATATTGGCAGATAACCATAACCTCATTGTGGGGTGAGTCATTAACCATGAGAGAAAGGAAAGTGAATTAATGCAGCCCTGACATTGAGGCAACAACAACAACAATAACAGTAACGATTGTAAAGTTTGTTTTTTCTCTGCTTTGAAAACAGCAAGGTCAATTCAAATGAGACAATATATCAAACCTTCCAGTTTTACTCTGTGCAGTGAGGAATAAAGAGAATTTGAGAGGTTTGAGTTAGCCCTGCAAAATAACATGAAGTTGTCCATGAGCACTGGGATGGATCTGCCCCAGGACCCATTGAGGGATGTGCAGGCAGCCCCATCAGAGGGTGGACTCAGGGGCTCTGTATCCCAAATCCCAGCCTGGGGAAGAGGACAGGGACTGGCACAGACATATGGTGACTGGGGTGACCTACTGACATTAATAAAAACAAACATTGCAAAGCTCTTCACTTGGAGGGGGAAGGACAGGGCTCTGTGCTTTTAGTTCAGGTTCAGTTTGTGACTTCCTTGTTCTGAGTTTTTAAATTACCCCTTTTAGCAATAGTCAGCAGAGTGCACTTTTAAACAAAAAGAAGGAAAAGAAAAAGAATTTGGAAAGCAAACTTTAGCTTCATTTACAACACTTTTCAGGGCTGTTTCATATAATAGTACCACCTACAAGGTCCTCGCAATCCCTGGAGTGTTCAAGGCCACTTTCCACAGGGCTTGGAGCAACCTGGTCTAGTGGAAAGTGTCCCTGCTCATGGTAGGTAGCAGGGTACTGGTCTTTCAGTCTCTTCCAACCCAAACCACTCTATAATTCAATAAGACAAAACAATCCAGTCTGGGGCTTAAATACAAGTTCAGGTATAGCCACTCCATCTCAGAGACTCTCAGGGAGGATGATCTCTTTCAAGACCTGCTGGAATAACAACAAGGTGCCAGGATGCTCTGATCATAAAATTCAAAACAGGGAAAAGATGATTAAAAAATTACCTAACAGTGAGAAGCATGTGAAACACCACGAGATCCTGCTGCTGCCTGGACTATCCCCAACTCCTGTAATAGATTTATCTCATGGAAGCCACGCAAAAAGTCACAGCTGCCAGGACAGAAATATGGACCTAAAGAAAAGCATGGCAGGGAAAGGAAACAGTGGCTGAAGGGGAATTTGGGAGAGCTGATCCACAAACATGTCCTGAAAAACTCTGGAGAAGCTCTCCTGAAGGGTGCACACCTGTATCCCACATCTAGCCCCATGAATTTCAGGGATTGCCTTGCCTGTGGACCAGCTGATGTTGTGTTTCTGCTGCAGTTAACACTTGATACCAAAGTTGGGAGGTTCTGTGACAATTCAGTGATTTTTCTTGGTGCTCATCAGGCTGTGACAGGGAGCGATGGACAGGAAGGGCTCTGGGCAGGCCGTGCAAACCAACCAGTGAACACACTGTGAATTTTGCTCTTGTGGTCATTTAGGGCATGAATTATGTCCAGCCTTTAACACAGATGATGATGTCTGATGTAACAGGGACTTTGGACTTAACACATAAAAACCTTCTTAAAAATTGCTCGGTCCCCATTATTGCAAAGTTGTTACAACTCTTAAGGTGTAAAAGAACAGCATAAAATTCACACTGATCCCTTCAATTCTTTTTTAAGCATCTTTAAATCCAGCTCTTTTTTTTTTTCCTGCTATACATCTTACTTTTTATAGTTAAAAGTAATTTTAAAGCAAAAAAAGAACATAAACAATATACACTGACTCTTGACACTCCATTGCTTTTTTAAACTAGAATAATAAAAATTTGCAAATGAACAAAAGAGTGGGAGGAAGATATCTGATTTACAATGTTTTTGAGATAAAGAACACCATAAAAAAAGATCAATGTGAATAATAAAGCATTGTTAACTGAGTCATGACATTTCTATTCTCAGTGAAGATTTGAACAGTAGAGCTCTGCAAATGAGCACCTTGTGCCATTTTCAAAGTGGGAGGAAGACATATAATTATAATTTTTAAAGTGAAGAGAATTTAAAAAAAAATCTCTGTGAAAAAGTTTATTGAAAAACATATCGACATATCAATATGACATAAATTACTTTAATTTTATTAAACTGGGAGGGGGAAAACCTCTTGTTGAAGACGGGCTGCAGAAAGCATTCCTTGAAAAGAATTTTCTTTATTAAAAACTCTTTGCTAAGATGAAACAGCACTGGATGTCAGCACTACCGTATATTTATTCTGTAACTCTTCCAACAGCCGAGATCTATAAATGAAACATATTTTCAAAACAGTTTTAACCTCCATTGTCTTGATCATTCGTATTAAGATTTTTCATGTCACCTATTGAAATCCCTTAAAGGAACCTTTTATTCAGTCAAAATTAATGAAGCCATTTTCTTAAACAGCCTCCAAAAAGTAAAAAGGACGTAATGTTGTACATTTATTTGACATACGTTTTCTGCCATTTCACTTATTTGTGTGATGAGAGCAATATTTCATATTTATGCTATCAAATCTGTGGAGAAAAGTGATTTTGAGAGAGAAGAAAACCAACTCTGCTCTTGCTGTGTGTGCAATTTAAATCCACAGTGAAAATACAGCATTGATCAGATTACTCCAATTGAGTCATTTAGTGCTTTGGCATTCCTGAAGTTAGGGCCCAGCTGTGAAATCATAGTTGGGGCCAAACATTGCTGTTAGGTGAGTGCACATGGCTCCCATTTTCTTCAAAGGGAATGACACACATGGCCAATATTTAGCTTTCACCTCTTCCATTCTTTAGCTAGCAAAGCCAGAACCAGTGGAGTGTATGCAGGCAATTTAACAGAATTAAGAATACAATCAAGATTTTCTGGGACTTACTAGTGATTTGGGATATATAATTCAATACACATCAAAACACAGATGCTCAGCATATTCTGAAAATCAGGCCATCTCAAATGTCTTGCTTTAAGCAGGTAAAATCATAAATTACTCTGAGTATTTTGGCCATTGGATCCTAACAAACTGGGTGTAGTACACTTCTTCAAAATTATAAACTCCAATTTCTGGCTTGGCTAAGATGCCTGAGAGAATTACAACGTCCCAACACATTTTTGTTCTTGTGTTGGCACACAGCTCTCCCCTGCCATTACCATTACATGACTTGAGCACAGTGCAGGTGCCCTTCTGCAGCAGGTGACCCCAAGGGAAAATCCAGCTCCTGGCTCTGCAGGTCCCCTGGGATGTACTGAGCCACTGGGATGGCCCACAAGACCTTATAGCATAAGTGCCATGGAGAGAAAAAAGGATGCATCCCAAAAATCTATCTGCCCCATGCTGCATGCAGATCTTCATTTCAACTCAAGGTCAAGTGGAAAACTTTTCTACCATCCTTGCTGACTCTCCTCTTCACTTTCTCCTGACTCCATCTGTTCCTCACCCATCTCCTTCGTTCCGCACTCGCCTCCCTCTTCTTCCTGTGTCCATCTGTTCCCTCCTTCCTCAACACAAGTTGGGGAAGGGAAGTAAATTCAGTCATTCACTGAACAGATTTCAAGATGAACCCCCTCCCTCTCCAGTTCTAACTTCATTCATCATGGTAAAAATTATAATGAATAGAAATGTTGAAGGTGAAAATTTATTAGGGATTGTGTTGCTTTCTTATATGAAAAGCAGTTAAAGCTGCATATAAACATTGGCTTCATTCATTTTTTTCTTAATATATGGCATAATTAGTGAGAAATATTAGTGGAAGTGCTTGCTATGCAGTCCATCAACACATGCCTGTCAGAGCTTAGGACCTGGGCCAAAAGTTTTTGCCAGTCCTGTGATAGATTTACAATAAGCCTATAGAAGGCTTTACAGTTAGCTGGGTCACTAATTCATGAAGTTAAAATGCATGCAATGAGGTCAAAAATTCACTATTGATAAAACACCCCCTCCCGGGATTGCACCCTTAGCTTTGTTACAGCAACAGCAAAATAAAGTAAACCCAAAGCTCCTGTGAATTACCAGTCCATCATCGTAAATCAGTAGTGAAGCACTTGCACGAGTTCATGATGTCATCTGAAGCCCGGGATATATTTATAGCCTTGTGTACTATTTCCTGTTTCCTCATGACAAAAATAAACAGTCTCCAAATCCCCTGCATCCTTCTGCCTGAGCTCAGCAGAATGTAATGGGCACGAATCCCTGAAAGCCCCCATGATATATTGGTCTGGAACAGCTCCCTTCTGATGGGCCACGGCGCCCGCGCTCCCTCCGGCCTCTCCCATGTGGGCAACAGCAGTTCCCATGGAGTTTGCTCCATCTGCTGCACTCACGGCTGGGATAGTCCCACACCCCCTCCTACTTTGCCTCCCTGACACTTGGAGAGAGAAGGAAAGGAGAGTTCAGCCTCTGAGCCTTAGAGATGGAGTGAACAGCCTGGCAGGTGCATCCGAGGTGGAGGAGCTCAGCATTGCTCCGTGTGGGGACCTGGGCTTGCCACCACAGGGACCTTGGGCATTTTGTCCACTGATACTGACAGGCCATGAAGGCTGGAGTTTGCGCTTAAATATCCTCTCCCTCCTCCTTTGCTCGTGATTTGGGATCGTCATCTAAGGTTTCTGAGGTGTTTGGGCATGGATGATGCCCCACATTTCATCTCAGACCTCCCAGCTCTCAAATTTTCTGTACCTACCTGAATTGCTGTGTTTGCTGGTGATCCTCTTCACCTCTTTTTGGGTGAAACTTTCTGTCGGGGCAGTTTTGTTTTTTGCTTCCTTTCCTGAAAAGAGACAGAGGGTAACACAAACAGCACACCATGCCATGTAACCTCCCTCTGCAAGGAAGCATGTTTGCTTCTGTTTGACCTCAGACCAACAACTCCTGAAGTCAATGACTATCACTAAGTGGCTGAGGGTAATAGCCGTGCCAAACCACATTTATTTGACACTTATTCCTCTTCAATTTCGTTTTCTTCTCTCCACCAAGACCGTCGCACGAGTTCCCTGCCTCTACTGGCCCTCCCTGGGGTGATGCCGAGCAGTGAGGACCATCCAGGTAAGCTGCTGGGCCCATGCATGCAGAGATACTCCCTCCCTGGCAGATTAATATATCCCTTAAATGATCAAGAAAAGGTGTTTTGGATTTTTTTGGCTTTTGCCTTTTTGAAAAACTGCTGTCAAACCCTGAGGTTTGGGTTTCATCATACAATGAGAACCGAGTGAGGTCAGATCAAGCCTTCATACGTGCAAGTTTTCATCCATCAGGTCTGATGTAGCTCTGCCCGTGTCATCTCGGGATTGAACGGACATGGCACACAGCTCTTTCAGTAATGAGCATGTGACACATTAAACAGACAGGCAGTAACAGCAGGGCACGGAATGAATGCTGCACTGATACACCAACATGCCCCAGGGGAAAATTAAAAAGTTACAGGTCCTAAACTGCCAGAGTTTTCCACACAGTTTAGCATTAACCCTTGGGACACCTCGCTACAGGGGTGTGAGACAAAGAACCACTGCCAGGATGGATTTGGAACAAATGCCAGCATTGAGCAGAGCCACAGGCTCCCTTGTCCTTTGCTTGTAAGATGTGGATGAGCCCTAGGAGGGTCAGAGATCAATTCTCCTTCTCCTTCAGTGGAGTCTCCTCCTAAACAGCTGCTCCAAGAGCTGCTTTGGATTACCTGCATTGCTGCAGTCCCTGTTCAGCAGAACAGAGCACCTCTTAAACCCTCTGTCCCTTATCAAAAATAGACTTAGAGCCCTTGTATATCTCTATACTAAATCTAATTTCAGAAGCATGCAGGGAAACTGCAGACTCCTCTTCTCCAGGACTGCGAGATGCTGGTTTGTGCCTAAAGCCAATGAAGAGAAATAGAGGTCAGGGGGCAAACTGCAAATGCCAGTCTTGGTATCACTGCTCCTCCCTATTAACCAGAGGGATCTGGAGCTGGCATCAGTGAAAAGTAAGTGATTTACTTTGTGCCTTCATGAATTTAGACACTTGTAGTCAGCCATCTGAATCGCCCAACTCCAAAAAGAAAAAGAAAAAAGAAATTCCATGTGAGTGTTGAGACTATCTTTGATACAAACATGGTTGAACAATCCCAGTCTTCTACTGCAACAGCCAAGGCAAGTCTCAGCTTCCCCATGTGAGGATGAAAGTTGCTACTTCATATTACTTAAAAATGGCACATTGTGGGGGTGTACCTTTAGCAGCCTCTGCCTAACAGTCTAACGCTGAATAATCTGACATTTCTTCATCATGATACACTTATTTTTCCCTTTAAGTTCACTTCAGTGGCTGATTTCTATATGTTAAAAACACAGACATGTGGACATTTGAAGCTGAACACTGGCTCTTAAAAGAGAGTTGCAAAGTTTGACCCTCTTCCCATCTCTAACTGTAATTTGGGGTTTTTTATATTCTCAATTAACAGTCATCATAAATACTACGAGTGGTATGCAATATATTTTTAAAGCCTATTTGGTTACATCTATTTGTTCCAAACTCTCAACCTACTACTGTTCCATCCAGCAACAAACTATAATAGGAAAAAAAAAAGTGCTAACCACCTTTTTTTTTTCTGCTGGTCTAGCACAATCTTTATTTCTTCAGACACTTTGTGCAAACATTAAATTGATAAAAGACATAATGTAGATGGACCCACAGCTGAACTGAAGGTAATTGCATAAAAATGAAATGGAGACCTATAATTGTACACTGCTTTAGCCTCTCCTGCAGTGTTTTCTGGAAGCAAGGATCTCGCTTGTCATAGCAAGTTGCTTGTTACAGTGATTGTGTGAAGGCTTGATCTAGCTGTACAAGACAAGTATAACATTACTGAAAGGGAGCTTTTCAAACTAAGAGTCTGACACTAAAATGTACTGTATTTTCCAAGATGTAGTATGCTTTAACAAACAGAAGAGTCCCTGAGTGACAGCTTTTGTTACCCTTTTGTTTGATGGTGCTGTATTGAAAAATTCAGGTTATGTCTATGTCTTTCTATTTCTGGTTTTGATTTCTCTTCAACAGCACTTCAAGAATAAAAATTGACTCCAAGTATGAATAGTAGAAGTCGGTGGATACAGTAAATGTCAGTCTGGCATTTACTGATTACTTCTGTCAGACTTCTTTTTCAGTCTCACTTCTTGAATGTTTAAATGCATTCCGTGGGCCATTGTATTGTTGCAGAATTGGAAACTCGACAAATATATCATGAATTAAAACAAAACTAGTTTAGATTTTTGGGCAGATCTTGAAAGTGGAAAATAATATTTATTCTTGCCTAAGCCTTTTGATCTGATCCATGTGTAGCCAAAGGCTCAGCCTGGGTGTAGCTCTCAGTGTGAACAAGCAAGACCCATTTGTGATATTGGCACCTGGCTAACAGGTAGGGCTTGTGTCTTTTGGACTCACAAAACAACTGTTATCCAATGAATCCAATGTATAAGCGAGACATCGCTTCCTCCTTAGCTCTGCTGCTTTAATCAGCAGAACTTTTCCTGGAGATGGTTTGTTATTGAATGAAAGTGCAGGCAAACCTGTGGAATGTCACTGATTTACAAACACTGGAAAACAGTCATGACTGTACATGTAAGGGCATCCAAAATACCTGAGTTTTCACATTCTGGACTGAAGAGGCTGGCCAAGGAGTCAGAGAGGGGAAAAAAGAAAAAAAAGCTGTATTTGCCTTCTTTGAGGGGAAAACCATCAAGAACTCATCACAGATGGACAAACCCAGACATGCACAGCCTCAGATGCTGATTTCTTATGACCAAGGGTACAAGCTCAGGGGAGAACTGCTGTGCTTTGCACTGCTGGGTCACACCCAATAGAGCCACTGCCTCTCCCACTCTTCCCATCACACTTGTGGCTTTCCTTCATCACAATACTCAAAAAACCTGACAGTTTTAGGTTTCTGAACCTCCTCTCTGTGCCACTGCTCTCTTACTGCCTCCATCCCATTGTTTGCTCCCTGCCCAAGGCCAACTCTCCAGGACAGGGAAATTCACATTTCCATCACAGTAGACTTTGTTGTCATTATGACTTCAAAATCAAGACAATACCTCTGCCAACACACTATTTTAAAGCAGTGATTTAAAATGAAAATGATAGCCTAGTTTCTGTGCTTATCTTATCCCAAGACCTCACTCTACTAACCTCTACCCACCTTTTCTGGTTCTATGTATCTCACTAGGTGAAACTGTCTAAAATGGCTAGAAACAGGGCTAGAAATTTAAATTAATTGCTCGTTCATTCGTAAGTAAATGGAGTTATAGAAATAATAGAAAAATTAGCTTGGAAGGGACTCTAGAATCACCTCATTTGGCCTCTGCCAGAAACCCACAGTAAGAGCAGGTTGCTGGGGTGCATGCCCAGCTGAGCTCTTCACACAGCCACAGCCTTGCTGTGGTCTGTTCTGGTGCTTTACACATTCCCATGATGAGGAATTCATTCCCTGGGCAGTTCCAACCGCCTTTTCTGCAGCTTCTGACCATGTCATCTCCTTGTTTTCCATCTGTGCAGTGCTGGGAGGAGTTGGGGTCTGGTTTCTCCACTATCCTGGCTCTGGAGGGGAGCCAAGCATCCAGCACTGTTCTTTGCCTTCTCCTCCAGGCCAACCAAAGCCAGCTCACCCAGCCTCTGCTCACACAGAAGGTCTTCCAGACCCCTTACCACCTCAGTGGCCTTCACTGGACTCGAACTAGGTGCTACTTATCTCTCAATCCTTGTTTCCCCCCTCCTCAAGCCTTATTGTGGCCCTGGTTTTTCACTTACCTTGCAATCCATCTATCCATCCATCCATCCATCCATCCATCCATCCATCCATCCATCCATCCATCCATCCCATCCACTTTTCCTCCTCTTGCTGCAAGGATACTGGGGGAGCAGCTGCAGTCTCACCAAGGTTTCACTCTCTGTCAGCCTTCCCTTGGCTTTTCTTTAACCTGTGTCAGAAGCCAAAGGTACCTAAAAACCAAGAGATACTCAGGCCCTCTCCTCAGACTCCTTCAGGCAAGTGCAGACGAACCACTTCAGAGCACTTACTGTTCCTCTCAGAAAGTAGCATTTGCAAAACTGAGGTGTTTGTCAAGATTGATTTTCTGTATATAGCTCAAGAGCAAGCATATCACAAGATTTAAGTGAGATAAAAAGTGAGGCTGTGCTTGATGTGAGGCACAGGAGTTAATCAGCTGTAGATAAGAACTGATGAGGTTTTATCATCCCTGCCACGAAGAGAATGACTGTGTTTCTTAGCCACTTGATCACTTCAGAGAGTGGGTGAAACTATATATCAACCCATGTTTATCTGTGCCTGAGAAGTTCTTCAAGAATAAATTGAACTCAGAACTCTTCTTAACCTTTCCCCTAGTTGGGGCTTAAAATTAAGCTCTCCCTCTGGTTTTTGAGCTGCCTCTCTGGCACGCTGACAGCATGTGAAGTATCCCATCTCCTGGTTAACTTCCAGGCCAACAACGCAAGTGGGGATGAAGTTATGAAATAAGGAATCTGGATGCTAAACAGAGACCATCTGGCTGTCTTTCTACAAGATTATGAGCCACGGTGAGCTGGCACATCTGCATCCAGGTACCACCTACGTGCACATTGTTGGCTGTTAATTTAGGGAAACGAAGTTGCAGCTGAAAAATAGCAAGATAATTGTTTTGCCTTCTTTTATGTCACAAATTGAAGTTAGGATATCAAACTCTAAATAGATGTCAACCTGAGGCAATAGTTCTGTTTTATTTCCAAACCTGATCCCACACACTGGAAGTGAATTATTACTTAGCCTCTAAGTCCTCTGGGTTTAAGAGAAAACCTTAGAAGGCAAGTTCACAAATACCTTTACTATGAATAAACCTCTGTAAAGAGACTGAAATCATTAGGTGAGAAGGGTTAGGCCTTGGAAGTAAACAACTGTAGGTTTGAAAATTCTGCTTATGTTATTCTCTTAGATCTCTGCCTTGGTATCACAGTCTTTTTTTTCCTAATCCCACCAGATAACCAGCTTACAAATGAAAAACATACAGACGAAAAGCCTATGAAAGGTATTGTTATGAGTTCTGTCGCAGAATTCAGCATCACAGACGCTTCATCAAAGGGTACCAAAAATGAGAAGAAATTGTCAGATGCAAGCAGATCATCCATTGCTTCCCTGGAGAAATGCAGAGAATTCACTTACATTGAAGATGATGCATCAGTACATCAGAGAGACAGCGACGGTATGTTTTATAAAACAGATCACATTTGAGCTGATTTCTAAATAATGCCCACTGCAAAAGAACTATGTTTAACCAACTCGAAATTAAATGTTGAACAGGAGGTTCAAGAACATTGCCAAAAGCAATGTTAAGTTGCCCTGCAGACATTTGTGTGATAGATGAGAATTTCTAGAAGATGATCTTAAATTGTCAGTGATACTAAAGTTATAGAAGAGGAGCTTAGAGCTTATTGTGCCACAGAGCATTTGTACTTTAGTAATGAGAGTTTGCACAGAGGCACCAGTGTCAGTATCAGATAAATCTATTCCTGGTTATTCCAGTGCATGTTAAAAAAAGGCTCTGTGAAGTATTTCAGAAGTTTCTTTTGAGTGCCTTTTGCAATAATGGATTAGTGTGTTATATCCAATGGAGCTGGGATCTGTCGTGCATATAATTTAAAAATTCCTAAATTAAGCATTTCTAAATACAGATCAACACAATAAAGTGCCCTGTTCTCCAAGAATCATTAACATCTCTATTGTGTCACAGATCCTTACAAAAGGGATGTCTGTGATACATCTATTGGAATATGCTTCATTTCAGAGAAGGATCTGAAGTATTTCTTTTATTTAGGAGACTTGTCCTCTTGTCCAGACACTCCGTATTTTTGAATTTGAGGTCTATCTCAACCACTACTGGCACACAGGTGTGTGCCATGTGATGCAAATAACAGATTTCATTCTCCTTAAAAAAGCTAAACGTGAAGGAAATTAACAACAACAACCAAAAAAAAAAAAAAAAAAAACCCAATCTGTGCTTAATTAATAATGTTAAGGGCTGGATAGAAGCCAAGAAAACCAAAGGAAGACAGATTTGTCGTTGTCATTGCATACTCAGCTCACTCCACTCTGACAACTTACTGCTTATTCCACATGCACGAGGCCAAATCCTGTTTGCTGGTGCTTGGAGAACATCTGAAGGCAGAGAAGTAGATGAGGAAATTGGTGATTATTTTGTTCCCAAGGCTCAGACAAGAGCATATACAACACTCATAGGTCTCACCAAGGATGACCAAAAAAGTCTTCAGCAAGCTTTGGACCAGGGTTGTTCAGAGCATCATCTGTGTGAGCAGATGCCACCAAACAAGAGTAGGATAACTTAGAGATGTGGCATGCTAGAAAAATTATTATAAATTCTTCTTTTGTGCTAATTAATCTAGTAATGTAGAGAATGAGAGCTGAGGTCATTGTTCTCACTGAGATAAACGCAGTAATGCCGTTTGGCAAACAGCAGGGAAAACAGGGGAAAACAAGAGATTGCATCTTCTTTTATGCAGTTTGTGGCTAATTTATTTTCAAATATATAAATGAATGCATAGGAATGGATGTCTAATTGCTAATATCTATTATTTATATACATTACCCCACTTAAAACAGGACCAAAAAGCCTCACACATGCAGATTTTTTGAAATGTGTTACATCCATTATCACAGTTCATGGTGTGTGCTCTGATGGGAATTTAAAAGCATCTTTACTGCACATCATAGAGTCTGTGCTGAAACATTACTTTATTATTAAAATCTTGTGCTTTTTGTGTGCTCTCTTTCCTGGATGAAGCCCTAAAAATCATATCTATTCTCTCCAGATTACATAAGCACCATTATGGCTAACACATTCAGGGAAAAAAAACCTGTTATTAAAAAAATGGATCTTTGGAGAGGGAAAAAAAAAATTGCCAAATCCTTAATTAAGACATAACTTTGAATTCTGTCTCTCACATCTATGTATAGGAAAGAAATTTCATAAACATCAGAGATCTAAAAAGAATAGTCTTAATTACACCAAGAATTACTGGATTAAATTATTACATTTTCTACAGTGTAAATTTCATACAATTAAGTACAATGGTGTCACCTTATTAACTGTTTCAATTTTATAATTATTTCAGTTCATTTAGCTAGGAAAAAATATAAGCATGAACTTACTGAGTATCACCAAAATCTAGTCATTCTTATTTGACAGAACTGACTTAGAAGTTAGTTGTGCTTGTCTGAACCTAAATAGATCTTGACATATTTAAATAAGTATTAAAATTGATAACATTGGTGATGATATGCTATTTAGAAAGAAGTTCAGTCATATGCTATTTGTTCATTCTACCTGCTTTAACTGCCTTTTTAATAAAGAAGCTGGAATGATTTTTTTTTATTTTGTTTTTTTTTATCAAGAAAGCTTTCTAAAAAAAAAGAAAAAAAGCATAATTCTGGAAACTTCCTGGCAGTTAACTTCATGTTACGTGAGCTAGAAAATGCCACAACAGAACCAATGCAGTTGAATGAGTTCACAGTTAGTCATCCTAGGGCAAGAAATGTGGTTATAACCATATGCTTTCCTGAAGGAACCAATGAAAAGACACTCATATTGTTGAAGGCGATTTTCCTTTCCAAAAACAAGAAGGGGAAAAAAAAAAAAAGGGAAAGGAAAGGTCTGGGTCTGTGCTCCAACTGGATTCACACAGTTGGAATCTCACACCTGCTGCACCCAAGCAGTCTCCCCAGATGCTGGAGGCTGAGGGGTGAGGAGTTAATTAGTTGATTTTGGGAGGGCACAAACATAGCACAGAGTTTTAGTCATGGTGAGCAAGTTTTCAGGAATATTCACTGGCTCCAGATACACATCCTACATAATCTATTTTCCAAACTTTTGTCTCCTTTGAACAACTGTCACTGGTGAATGAAAAGGTAAGAACCCTGCTTGGTGGGGAGTTGGCAGGACCCTGAGCTGAGGCACACTGCCCTCCCTGAAAGTTCTTCTCCAGACCTGCTCTCCCTCCCTGTCCTTGGTAGTTTTTAAACATTTTTAGTGCAAACTCTTGTGAAAATGAAAATAAACTCCAGTGTCATATGTGCTGGTGTTGTGGTTTACTCAACCCCACAGAACCCCTCACCCACTGCCCCACTGCAGAATGGGGGTACCAGAAGGGTAAAGGGAAGAAATCTCATGGGATGAGATAAATACAATGTAATAGGACAATTGTAGTGGTTTTACATGGGAGGAAGAAAAAAAAATAATAATAAAGAAAATAATAAGAATAAAGAAAATAATAAGAATAAGAATAAGAATATACAAAACAAGGGATACACATTGCAATTGCTCAGCACTCACCAAATGATGCCAAATCAGTTATCTGAGCAGAAGCCCCTGCTTGTTTTCTGCCTAATTTATGTTGATGCCATATGGTCTGGACTATCCTTCTAGCTAGCTGGGATCAGCTGTCCTGGCTGTGTCCCCTCCCAGCTTCTTGTGTCTCTTCAGCCTCCTTGCTGTCCAGGCATGAGAAGATAAAATTTGGTTTAAAGGGCTTCTTCTTCTGCATTTCACTACCACAGAATATTTCCATTCAAATTCTTTTCATACAGCTGTCGTTTTTCCAGAGCAATTAAAATAGAAAATAAACTTTTCACTTGTCTCTATGGAAGTAGTTATCATCAATGTATTTTTAGCCCACCCTCTCACTTCTGTGTAGCCACACTGGCCTTGTTCTTACATCTCCCTGCTTTTCCTTTCTCTTAGATGAATGCGCAACACTTATCCTGGCCTGCTTGTTCTGCCAATTTTGGGACTTTCTTATAATGCTGCCTGATACCTGTGAACATTGGCTGACAGATACCTGTTGTCCATCCAATAGATATTACCAGACCTCTGACGAAGACCACGGCAACAACGACTGCAACTGTGACTGTGACATTGATTGCAGCCTCCTGGAGTCCTGCCACGAGACCGGGGAGTGCCTGGAACTCGCCATGGAGATTTCTGAAGTCTGCTACCGCTAATAGGGAAATAACTGACAAAATTCCTCAAAACTACCTGACACATTACAAAGGAGATTTTTTTCTTTTAAATATTAATCATAGCCAGAGGTTTTGTCAATGAGGACTATGTGCATCTTGTTGCTCCCTCCTTGGAGGTCTCTATATCTGTACCGTTCTGGTGGCATGATATCACAAACTGCTGAAACCAATAAAGGACAAAAAGGGGTCTTCTCTGCCATAGATGACAACAGAATTCCTAAGTGCCAAGTGTGCTCGCTGCTTTACCCACTGTCAATCCAAGCTTTTATAAACCTTTAATTGCTTTAAACACTGATTTTGCCATTCATAAACACAGAACAAATTAGGACATTATTTTAGCACTGATATATATATTAGTTCATCTTCCTAATGGATTCATACCTAAACATGTATTACACATTGTTGGTTATTATAAATAATGTATGATATATAATCATTTTATAATTAAAAATTTATTTATTCAATCTCTTAAAACACTCTTATATGCCCAGTATAGGTAGAAAAAAAATTTTTAATGAATTAGAAACCATACTACTGGTAATTACAGCAAATGTCATTTAAAATCTCCAGTGATTTTTGTGGAGGAAGCATTTTCACAGGGTATTTCAATTTGACAGTGTATTAATGTGCTGGCCCATGGTTATGTAATAAGAACTATTGTTCATTAGTTATAGGAAAGGGCTTCTTAATGTAATTAACCTAAATGGGAATTGACTGCACACTTCCAGAGGAAAATTACCCCATAGATATCCAGTAATTCCTTTGCTTGATTTTCATTTGTAAGACTTCTGCAAGAAACAGAATATTGCCTCCTATTCTAGTGCAAACAGGCATCTCCACCTGTGCACAAAAGATTACAATATGACAGTATCCATCCTGGTTGGGCTTAAACTCCCTTTATCTCTTTTCTGATGGCAGGTCTGATTAATAAAAAGGAAATACATGTTGCACATTACACATATGACAAGAAAAGCATGTAAATTCAGTTGCCTGAGCGTGCAGAACACAGGTATTAAGCACAGAGGAAAGTACAAAATTGCTTGCTCATATTAGGTATTTATAGACTAACACCAAAGCCAGTGTTTTCTTTATATAAGCACTAAAATATCTCCCAAAATCCCCAGTGATCTCAGTGCAGAAGAGCCTGTGGAATCCCAAACAAGGATCTTTGGCAAGATACTGGATTATTAGGTATTTCTAAAATCATTGAAGCCACTTGTTTATTAATCAGAGCAGACCTGGTGCACAAACATTTATTGGGGTAAAACAGCCATGTGTATATCATTTCCTTATCCCCCTTCTGGAAAACTCATGCTTTCAAAAAATCAGAAAGCAAGAAGTAGAACCACTAACAACCTTTTTCCAAGCATCTTACAAAGCCTAGTGACCAGAAGACAACAAACCTCAGCAATGCAGCGAGCAGCCCAGAACAACTCATTTCTCTGCTCTTTCCAGGACGTTGGTGGGGAAGAGAAGAGATTTGCTTATCTTCCACTGTCACATTGTGAGCTGTAGTCACCTAAAGGAGCTAAATCATTAGTCCTTCATCACCACATCAGTCCCAGCCTGCTGGCTGGGTCTGGACCCAAACCCCACAGCACAACTCACTGCCTTTCAGGAGGTACTGCTTTGGGTCACCCACCCCAGGATGGGGTCACCCACCCAGGATGCTTCAATTTGCATTCTCCCACAGAATTTTGATCTTAAATCTTCCAAAGCTAAGCTAAACTCTCACTGCTACAGACCAGACCACAGAGGCTTGGATCATTCTATGCTCTGTACCACTGTGGTATCCTTTGTATCCTTTTTACAAAGTGGCATGTGGGTGTTTATGAATAAAAACTCTGACCCAAGGTATTTAGGAGTCAGAAAAGAGGGACACTTGTTCCACATACCATTTCCTAGAGAAGCACCAATAAAAATGTACATTGTCATCCTTGCTCTTGATGCCAACCTCCAGAATGGGAGATTTCATGTGTAATGGCTGGACAGAGCCCAAGAGGGGAAACCAGCTGTTGGCATACCCCAAAACATTGTCAGTGAGGGAATCAGAGATGGAGACTTTGCCTTTCAAGCCAGGATGTCTTGTACCAGTTCTGAGTCTGCAAGAAAAAACACAATGACCATACCAGTATAACTCATGGCAAGTGAACTCATTCAGCTGTGGAACTGGACTGGGAGCTTTTGGCACAAATGTGGAATTTCTCCAACTCTTTTCCTAAGAATCATTATTCAAAAGATTTTTTTTTTTTTTTTTGTGTTGTAATCCATAGGTTTGATTGCCATGACATGATTGGGCAGGATGTCCCAGCAATATGAATGGAATCACACTGGGATGTATTGAGAGCTGCTGTGGGTGGTGTTTTAAAGAATGCAGCAGTAGCTCCTTGCCTGAAGTGTATGAGGGCACACTGCTCAGTTTCCTGCTTTAGGAAGTAGACTTTTGAGACATTACTTGAGCAATGAAACCTTTAAAAACATGTTATTTCATACAACACAGCAGAATCAGCAGCCTATGATAACTTTGTTTTCTGTCATAAAGTTGTTAATTGCAACATTGTACTTTCATGACACGTAGGAACACTTCAACATATTGACACCAGAGAAAGTCAGACTTTTCCATTAACCATTCCAGAAACTCTTTGAAAAGCCATCCTATTCCCACACTAAACTGACTTCCTAGTTCAGAAAAATATCCATTTATCAGATCTGAACATGGGTAGACATTCCAGTGAAACCAAAGCATTTGGAACAATTCGAGGCTGTCTCTGTATTTTTTATTTACTGGGAAGGAAGGTCTGGGTGCTCGAGTGGGAGGCGTTTGGGTGGATGGCTGTTGGGAACATGTTGGACTCAGCTGTGCTCCTGGGGAGATGTCAGTGCGTGAAACCAGCTCCTGAGAACAACAAATAGAAGTTCCCGTTTTGCAAACGGGAACAGCGCTCCGACACGACGCCTCTCCCCGGCACCAGAAATGCACTGACAGATTGCTTGGGGGAAGAGAGAGACAGGGAGAATAACAGAGAGCTGCTTTGCTACCTTCCACAGGAAAGGACCATGGGATGCTCTCTAAGGATCTCCTCTTGGAAATGACCCAGCAGTCTCATCCTTGAGACAAAAATGTCTTTTCACCTCTTTTCACTCTGTTCTCAGAATACAATACAGATTCGGGTGTAAGCTTTAGGGGAATTGATGGTTGCTAAATATTGGGAAAGCCTCTGGTGGCTTCCAAAAGTTTAATGTTCAGTTATCTCAAAGAATATTAAGTTCTTTGACTGACCATGAGCCCTTCCATAATGTCATTCTGGTGCCTTACTCTCCATGTACAATGAGTCCCTTAGATGTGGGACTGGCAAAAATTATCCCATGTACATCCCCAAATATAGGGATGGAATATATTACTTTACCTCATTCGACTTTCCTCTGCTTCCTAAAGCACTTTGAGCATTTGTATTCTCTTGAGCAATCATCAGCTAGAACAACCAACATCTTCCAAATGTCCAGAAAATGCACAGCTCTGCTTTAAATCCAGTGCTGCTTAGGGATTCAGGGTGAGTGACACAGCTGAGCTCTAGAAGACTTTGGTTCTCAGGAAGAAAGCAAAACACAGGAACAATTAAGATGTTTGCAACTGTATTTCTCCTATTATGCTTGTACAGTATCAAAAAAGTTCAAGACTGTCAGACTAAGAATGTAATGTATCTATTACATTTTTCTTTTAATTGTATGGAATGGTTGGTTCCATTGCGTTCATCTGTTTGGGTTCTCTTAAATGCAAGGTAAGTTTCCTATTATGAAAGAAAATGAGTTTACCAAGCAGACTGGGATTTCCAGGCACTGCTCCACTATAATTCACTGTAACTGAGCATTAATCATGATTAATAATCTATTATTCCTGTGGTTTAGGAAAATAAAAAGGAGTACTTTATTGAGAAACTGCCCTTTCTCTTAGCATACTTCATATAATTGCACAATGGAACAATTCTAGGGAATTCATTATTCTGCTGGTAATGATCTAGATTCCCTTAACATTGCACACGGATGGGAATAGTTGCCATCTGATGGATGTTCCATGGCCTGTACAAAATGAGTTGGTGGGTGCAAGCCAATTCATAATGGATGTGTGCCCATATCACAAAAAACACCATTATAATTGGTACCCTTAGGAAAAATGCCAAGGTCTGAGTGTAAACAGAGCACTTTCTGTCCCAAGAGCTGGCGCTTCCGTGGTCAGAGTTGAAGCACAACAGAATGAGCAATGCTGAACTGCATCTGCTGCCTCTGTAAAGGGCTTCGCTCTCCTGAGGTAGCACATGACTTCTTGGACCCTCTGTAAAATAAGAAGAAAACTCACTCTGAAGGGCCACACTTGTTCCTCTTCCCCCACCATCACTAAAGTCATCGTGGGGGTTGTGCAAATATAAAATGTAGTGGAGACAGTCATTGCTACAGTCCATAATTTGTTCTCTAAGTGTATCCAGAAAAAAATATATTGTCACTAAATGAGAAGTGTTTGTTCACCAATCCTCATTTGAAATTTGAGAAACCATCCTCTGAGAAAATGCTGAAAGTCACTGACTTACCATCTCCTAGTGTTTTCCAGTAAGAGACACTATTTTATTTGTATTGAAGAGGGACCAGGGACTTCAAACAGAGAAGTTCGTAGGTCATTGGAGTACATTGCTTATAAAATAAAGAGAGAAGAAGATATCTCATGGACATTCAATTGATGGCCTGCATGAACAGAGCAGTTTAAGCAGTAAAGTAATACTGGAAAATTCCTCTTCCTTATTAAAGAATCCTGCAAATCAATCAGTCATTCACATGGCCACCCCACAGTATATTGAAATGACCATGGTACAAAGAGAGGAAAAAAAACCCCACCTTATCCAAATGCATGAAAAAATCACCACCAATGTCATTAAAATGCAGACTCAATTTATATTGCCAGTTTTGCCATGCTTCCAACAAAGTAAAAAATAATGCCAGAGAGCACTGAGGAAAACATTATTAGATCAACTGTATAAAAAGCATGAATGATTCCATTAGTGAGCACAGCTGAGAAAAGACAGGATTTAAATCAAATCTAAATATGATATGATTATACAGCCAAAGTGACATGTCCATTTTAGAAAACATACAGAAGAAGCAAAACAAAAGCAGAGTTTGGGTTTTATGCCATAAAACATGTTCCATCTCACACAACATTTAAAAACCTGATGGAAGCATCCTGTCAGCTCTGCAATTTTATACTGTATTTGTTCTAGGTGAGTCACAGATGTACAGATAATTTAGAAGAACACCCTTTGTTCATTTCTCTTGCAGTATATTTACATCATTTTTCCCTTCAGAGAGTCACTGTACTGTATCACTTGATACAGACATCACACAAACCCTTCTAATAGAACAGCAGAGCTGCCCACAGAACCACAATTCCACTTCCTAAAATCTTTTGGGGTATTGTAACCTGGTGTTGCTTCATGTGGAAGGTGAAGCAAAATGTACCAAATTTTGGTCTTAGTGGGGCAGCCAATCGTTTAAAATAAAAGGATCAGGTTTTCTAATGTGTTCTCTGTTGGAACAGGAGAGTTCAGCCTCCACTTCATGAGGCTTTTCATCAAAAATACAGATGGAAAAAATTCTTTCTTCAAGAAGCATTTTTTGGATACTACTGTGTCAAATAAATTCTCCTATATGGAGAGAGAGAAAGAGAGAGGTAGGGAGAGATGGAGTATCTTTGAGTAATGTAACTGAGAGCAGTTGCTCCACACTTGTGATCTCCAATTGCTCTGTGAAGTTTTCTCTTGTCAGGGTAATCCTTGTGATTTCTGCCACACCAGAGGCAAATGAGCCATGGGATGAAAGCAGGATGAGCCTTTGCCCCAGGCCTCAAAGATTTCTGCTTCCTCATGTGCTGCCCACTCCTGTCCTTGTTTACATCCAGGTGGTCTCTCTGATATAAGTTTTATTTGTAAGGGATTTCACCACAGTTCAAAATCAAGAGTGGAGAAGGACACACATCAGTATTCATCTTCTCAAAGATATAATCAAATATTAATCCATTTTAAACCCCTTGATTTTACTATGCATTTCAATTTTTCCTGTAATCTATAACCCGTACACACCATAAAGTCATCACTGAGTGGTGAAGCTGGAAAAATCCAGCTACCTTTCCAAATGGAAATCAGAATATATATTTTTAGCTACATTAAACCAACTGCATGCAGCTCTGCACACTTATGTAATTCCCACATAAAAATAATCCATAATATTCCAGAGGAACAAATCCAATTCTTAGTCATATAAATTTTCATATAAGTCCATCAAAACCTATTCCAAAAATGTCTCAGTCTTTTTGAGTGCTAGAGTTGGAACAAAAGAGCGAGTCCTTTAAAATGCCTTTGGAGCTTCCAGGGATGTTAAATCTAATTGCCCTTAGCATAGCACCGATCCACAAAGGTTTAAGTCATGGAAAATGTATTTTACCTTTATACAAGGTATACTATGCAAAGTTTATCGTGGCACAGTAAAGTCATGTCTAACTTGCTTAGTGCAAATTTCAGACAGAAAAAAATTAACCTTTGATGCTTCACTTTGACTAACCAGGACAGAAAAATGTGTCTTCTCACTGCAGACACTCAATATTGTATTGAATGATATGATGCAGCATGGTATGATATGATAAAATGTCCATTTGTGCACTTGGGTCTATATGTGCACGTAGAAATCCATATTTAAACTCACAGATATTTATAGCAAGGTCTCTATGTTCCAAGAAACAACAAAGGATGGAGAGTAGGCAAAGATTAATTGTGATAGAAACCTTCTTAAGACAAAGCCAGAGCCAACACTATTTGTTAATACCCTTAGAAGCTGTATAATCATCCCAGCTGATGCTGAGGATGAATTTTCCAGTGAAAGGGTTGCTCATGACAGAGGGATCATTTGCTCAAGCAGACCTTGCAGCACCATGCGTGTTGGGAAATGCTCATTTCCCTGGAGAGTCCCACAGGGCTTTGCCTCCACACAGAAAGAGGAATGACCCAGGCCCTTGCCTGGCAGTCTGGAAAGTCCTGGAGACTCAGGTCATATTAATGAAAATATTAAATAATAGCTAGAAGAAAAACCTTCCTTTTTTATTCCAGAAAATATTCTCTTTGACGATCCTCCTGCATGAGCTCTTTAATTTTCTAAAATCTATCTGAACAAATATTTTTCCCCAAACTCCAGAATCCCTGATGGAATAAATTGCTCTGCTTTTGCCCATAATGGCTCTGTCACAACCCCTGTTTATAGGAGTAGCTACGTCTGAGCCAGAGAGCTCATAACTTTACAGACAAAAGAGGGAACACTACAAGACTGCACAGTCTGCCATGGGAAAGCAGAACAAAGGGACCAAGGATGGATTTTTTTCCCTCAGAGAACTTTATTTCTCAGCTAGAAACCTGATCTGCAGCGAGGGGAGCCAAGGGACAAGCCGTGTTTATAACACAGCCAAGGATGCCATTCCCTCGGTTCAGTCCCCCTCGCACTCAACACTCCTAAGCTACATCTGCTCTATAAAGGCCCAAGAAAACTTAGGCAGCCTTAAAAAAAAAAAAAATCCTTTTGCAATGGCACGTATTCTTAACCAGCATCATGGAAAAGTCATGCTGCTCTGCATATAGCCTTCAGGATTGTGTCTGTAACACTTGAAATCCTGCCCAAGTCTGGCTCCGCTCGCGCTAACAGGTACTCTGTGTGCTTCTGCATCTTTTCCTACAAGCAAATGTTGCAACTTTCCCATTGCGACAGCTGTAAGAGGCATTCACTTTACTCTGTTTTTCCTTAACACTCCCGATTCCTTTTATATCTAGTTGGGAATACACTCAAGCGCTAATGGCACTTGTTCAGCCATCCAGGGAAGGCGCAGCGTCGCCTTCCTAGCTATTTGTATTTCTTCATTTTGGCAATCTGAACTTTGCCAAGATCCAAATGCCTGATATTTAACTTAGATTACTCTCTCTTAAGGTCAGAAGGCACCAGTAATATTATCTGGCAAGACAAAATCGGCATCTACTTGGAGAAAGGAGGCTTTAAATCAATCATTCTTCCCTCTTACTCATGTAAATGAGAGGATTCCAGGTGCCAGGTTATTAAGTCACCACTGACAGAAGAGACAGGGAGATGGACCTGCATCCCTATGCTATCACTGCTAGTTGGGTAACCTCAAGGGATGTGGCTCCTGCTGCGTGATGGGGATCTACAGCTGCTGGTTTTTCTAATCGCTCAGCACAGGCTCATTCTGCCACTGCCTGATGAAAAAGTCCCAAGGGGACGAGCAGAAACGTAGTTCTTAAGGTTCCAAAGACATAGTTTCATGGAAAAGGACCTGCTCTGGGGTTTCAGACCATAAACACTTTCAGCTGTCAGCCCTGTGAGGTGGTTCAAAGCATAGGGAACAGCACCAGTACAGCCCTCCACAGTGGAAAATAGCCCAAACCACCTTGTGAGCCACTTCCAGATCTTTGAACCCATGTGGAGAAAGTGGCTTGAGCAGTACAAGTGGAAATGGCATTAAAAGCCTTATGAAAGCCATTGGTAAGGCAAAGCCAGCAGAGCTGCAGGGGAGCTAAAGGAGTGTGGCGACAGCCAAAAAAATTCAGAAACTCCTTCAGCAACCAGGAGAGAGACAAACCACCACCCAGGCGGGTCTGACATCAGGGTTTTGAACAGGAGCCTTCAAAGTTGTTTTTTTTTTTATGAGGCTCCTTTTCGTGAGGCAGGGCACAGCAAATACTCCATTTAAGGCTTCCGTGGAGTAGAACCAGAAATATCCAGCCTTGCAAATATCCTCCCCAGCCAAGCGCGGAGCCGAGACATGCAAAATGAGCGCCCGTCAGCTCCGTGCCAGCGCAACAGAAGGCAGAAGTGCTTCAAGGAACTTGTGACAGGTT